CCCCCGCCTCGCCGCCGCCGCCGCCAGCGGCTGCGGCGGCGGCGGCGGCTGCGGCGGCGCCGGCGGCCGGCCGGAGGCGGTTGTGGGGGCTGGCTGACACCACCTCGTCGCCGCCGTCGCCGTCCTCAAACTCATCATACAGCAGCGAACTGCCCCCGCCCTCGCTCCCGCCCTCGCCCCCGCTCCCGCTGCCCCCCTCGCCGCCTCCGTCGGTGCCCGGCCCGGGCGCCCGCGCAAACCCGCCCAGGCGTCCGGCGGCGGCGAGTGGGCGCTGCGCGGCGGCGTCAACTGAGTCTGGGCTCAGGCTGCGGTCCGGATACCAGCCGGCGCCCGCCAGGTCCGCCTCGTCGTACCATTCCTCATCGCCTGACGACTGCCTGCCTTCCGCGTCGCTGGCGGCGGCGTCCTCCGGATTGCCGGCCGCGAGCGGCGATTCTGAACGCCTGGCACGCAGGTGGCGGCGGGCCTGCTGCTGCTGCTGCTGCTGCTGCTGCTGCTGCTGCTGCTGCTGCTGTTGCTGCCGCCGCTGCGGCGGCCCCGGGGCCGCCGCCAGTCGAAGCTCCTGGGGCAACAGCAGCCCCTGCGGCAGGGGCCGCCCGGCGCCAAACGGCGGGGCCGCCCACGTCGCCGCCGGCGCCGCCAGCGCCGCCCGCGGCGCTGCCGCCGCGCCGTCCTCGGGCCCGTCGTGCGCCGCCGCCTCAGCGTCAGACTCCTCTGTGGCTGGGCAGATCACAGTGCTCGCCGAGTCCTCCTCCTCTGGTCCTTCCTCACCCAACTCCTCAAACCCTCCTGCAGCGGCGCCGCCCCCAGCGTACTCATAACCACCCTCCTCCTCGTCGCCTTGGGACCAAGGGCCGCTCTCTCGCTCGCCCGCGCCGGCCGCCCCGCGCGCGGCCGACCCCGTAAGCACGCGGGCGGTCAGAGCCTCGACGTGCCGGCGGGGCGGCGGAGCGAACATGCCGCGCACATCCTGCCAGCTGGCGGGCGGCGCGACTGCAGCCGCGGACGCCAACTCGAGCCCCGGCCCCGCGTCCGCCTCGCCCGCCTCTCCCTCCCCGTCCCCCTCCCCCTCGCCGTCGCTGCTGCCGCCGCCCCCGTCGCTGCCGGCCGCTGAGCGGCTGCCGCCCCGCAGGCGCAGCCCGCCGTCGCCGCCGCCGCCCCCTCGCCGCGGGCCCGCCGAGGGGCTGCCCGGTGGCAGGTTCACGGAGCGGAGGATGTCGCCCACCGAAACCAGCGCAGCGTCGCGCGCGTCCTGCGGCATCGCGAAGAACGCGCGCACGTCGCGCGCCCTGAATACCGCCGCCGCGTCGGCCGCGGCGGCGGCGGGCAGGCCGTTGCCCCGCATCCTCCCCAGAAGCACGTCGCGCACCCGCGCGACCGCCGCCGCGCCGCCGGTGGACTCCGCCGCGTCCATCAGGGCCCGCAGGTCCCTGCAGTACTTGGAGAAGACGTACGCCTCAAAC